CCTGCCACCGCATTTCCTGCTTCTTTTTTTTCTGTGACATGATAGTGGCAGAAATACGATAGGAAATAGTAGGAAAAAGGATGGGAAAATACCTGCCTTGCTGCACATGCAGAGCTTGGAACGACGGAAAGGGTGAATGCTCTATCCCACTGTGTGGCCATTACTGCAACCTTCATTGACACCCAGGTGCCGTGGGGTAGAGCAGGAGGCGCAGCAACGCTTGGGGGCAGGGCATGGCACAGCTGAAAGGCTTCTCTGCATAACACACGTGGAGTGTGATGGAGTCTGCATGCTGTGCCTTAGTGCATGCCCTATTATTGCCACAATAGCCTGGATGGCTAGTGTTACAAGACAGAAAATAGTTTAAAACAATCTATGCTATTTAAGACAAAACTAGAATATATTTTGCTCTCAAACATTTGATTCCTACACAAATTAAGCATTTTGGTGAAATATTGAGTGACATTACTTACAAATAATGTCAAATTCAACAAATTGCTTTGGCAGCAAAATACCTGAAGAAGTCTAAATTGAAAAATGTGAGAATAAAATAATGGCATTAGAAATTTTACATATATATAAAAATATCTATCTGTGTGTGTATAATTCATTGTAATGCTCTATTTCTGTTTTAATCACACAATACAAATGATCTAATTTTTTTTTTCATTTTCATGAGCAAGTGAGAAGTCTTCCTTCTATTTTAACTCCAAATAATGTTTTTAAGTGTTAAGATTTTGTTTTGGTCCTATGCATCAAAAATCATTAGCAGGTTGGGTCCCATGATACACCAGCCCTATTGCCTGGCTGAGCTTCACTGGCCTTGCACAGGAGGATATAGCACCAATTTTGAATGGAAATTCACAATTCTCATTTGAAAATTTCTTAAATAGGATTTTGAAAAGATAAATATTTAAATACATTAGACACTTTACTGGTTTCAATACTGCAGGATTTTTTTGTGGTTTGCATTTTCATGCAGCACTTTAGAAAGTTATTTGTTTTAGACTGACTAAATGTGGGTTTAGTTCATTATGATGACAACAGCCCCAATAACTCATCTGTCAGCAGGACAAGTTCCCCATTGCTCTAATCCTCCTCTGACACATAGCCTCTTCAACCAGGCTCACAGACTGGTTCTTTGTCCAACTTGTGACAAGAGTATTGACATTAACTCCCAGCAGCAATGCCTTTGGGAAGCCCTGAAAATTCAAAGAGAAAAACACAGTAACATCCTCACATCTGTGATTGCCTTCTTTGCTCTTTCTTCAGCATTTTTTGCTTCATTAGTAATATCTTCCATCTCAGTTTGGATTTGTGCCATATCAGTTTCAAGCTTCTTCTTTGTATTAAAAAGGCTGGTGTTCTATGAAGGAGAAAAAGAGAGGTTTCAAGTGTTTGTCTTTGGTCTCTTACACATAGAGACCATGAATTAGTATTCATTCTTACTCTGTGAGTCTCTGGACCCAAAAATATCTCTGTCTTAGCAAACTACCTGGGTATGGAGGAGCTGCACACGTTCAGTGGCATCCAGAAGCTCCTGCTCAGCCACTTTCCTCGACTGCTCTGTCTGCTCCAGGGCTGCCCGTAGCTCCTCAACTTCAGCCTGCAACAGGTTTGCTCTGCGCTCCACCATGGCCACCTGCTCCTTCAGGTCCTCCTGTGTCCCCAGAGCATCATCCAAGTGCAGCTGCATGTCCTAAATATGAAGAGCCAATTTTGTTCTAATTAATTTCTCGGATACTGTGCTTAAAAATAAATCAACCAGAAAGGTAAACCAAGACCTTGAGAACTCCCTGGAAGCTGTGCAGGTGTTTCTGTGCCTCCGCAGCCACGCGGTTGGCATGACTCAGCTGGATCTCCATTTCATTCAGGTCTCCCTCCATCTTCTTCTTCAGCCTCAAGGATTCACTTCTGTTCCTGATCTCAGCGTCCAAAACACCCTGCATTGTCTCCACAGTCCTTTGATGGTTCTTTTTTAACTGGCTGATCTCCTCATCTTTCTCAGCAATCTTTCTGTTGATTTCTGATTTAATCTGAGTCAGTTCTTGATTGACACCAAGGATTTTGACCTCTTCATGCTCAAGAGCTGCCTTTAAAAGGAGAAGGGGAAAAACAAACACAAAAGTAATATTTCAGAGCACAGAATCATTTTGATGTCACTCAGTGACTTCACACAAACTGCTAAAGTTTGTGGCAATCAACCCTGCACACAGCCACTGCCCAGCAGAGAGCACAGAAAGCCGTTCAGACTGTTCTCTACTTTTTCCAGTAATATTTAAACTAACTCACCTCTGCCTCTTCCAGAGCTAACCGCAGCTCAGATTTTTCTACTTCAGCTTGCCTTTTGGCTTTCTCAAGGTCTCTGATCATTTTGCCATTTTCAGTAGTTTGTTCAGTCAGATCAGCTATTTCCTCTGTGAGATAAGAATGACATCGGCCTGTGGTAGCCAGAGAAGCTGAACTCTATGCTTTGTGACTGTGTTCAACACCTCTTTTGTATACCTGCATATATACATATGTATACACATATGTACGTGTATACATGGTTGTATATGTGTATGTATATGTATGTACAGATAAAAACAGATAGAGCCAACTCATGCAGGATGACATAAACATGGGGGCATTGGTGTGGTTTCATTGCCCTCCTTACAGAGAGCCTGGAAGATACCTGCATGTATTTACATCTCTGGGTAGGCCATCAGGGTAACACTATAGGTCTTGTCATCATAGGTTCACAGTGTATCTGTAGAATTCACTTTCACAAGCTATACAGCCTCTTGAGGGCACCACCTTTATCTGGGAGTGGCACCTAAATGCCCTTGATCTTACATCTCTGCAGCAGATAATGGAGAGCCAGGACATTTGCTTTAATAGCTTAGTCACTTTACAAACTTGCTCGACAACTTTTGTCGAGACATTTATATTCTCCATTAAAATGGAGAGAATAGTATTGACAGAGTCCTGTAACTTAGTGTACCTCGTGCAGACATGAGCGTGCTTGTAGAGCATGCCTTGTTGTGGTAGGACTGTGAACGGCTAATGGGAAACCAGAGCCAAACACTTACGCTTGAGGGTCTTGTTTTCCCGTTTGATTGTTTCAAGCTGATCTAAGGTTTCCTCATAGGCATTTTTCACTTTGAAAAGCTCGGTGTTCAGTGAGCGTGACTCTTTAGAGAGAGCTTCCCGCTCCAGCTGGCTCTCTTCATACTTTCCCTTCCATTCTGCCCCGACCTGAAAGACATCATGTTTCATTCCCTGCTAATAGTGAAAATGTTATTTTATTTGTGGCTATTTTCTGTACTAGATAAATACCGCAGTCTCTGAAAACAGGACAAATTCCTATTGCCATGCTCTAGAGGAGCTTATAACTGTTAGACTCAACTTGATTTCAGTGTTGACTTAAGTAGGCAGTATTAGTTTGGCCTTCTAGGAAGGCTAGACTTAAAAGATACCATGCTCACTTATCACCTTATCAAGGTTCTGCTGTTTCCTGTCAAGGGCAGCTGCCAATGTGTTTGCTCTCTCTATGTCCACTGTCAGATCCTCCACCTCCCTCTGCAACTTCAACTTCATCTTCTCCAAGGAGGCACACTTTGAATTCACAGTCACCACCTGCTGCTCCGCTTCCTGGAGACGCTGAGAGAGTTTCTTCCTTAAGGAATATAAATAAAACAAGCACATGATTCAAAAAATCAGTGTATTATGTACATAATTTAATGAGTACAGTATCGGAATTCTTTTTTTACTTAAGTGTATATGCAAACCCCAATAAAATAATTTAGGAAAATAATTTAGGTCAGGCTACTGAAAGTACGTCTATGTTCTGCACAATGTACATAACATCTGGACAGTGCATCCTATCTATCATGTACTTGGCCTCCTCCAGCTCCTCCGTGCGCTGAATAGCGTCCGTCTCATATTTGGTTCTCCACTGGGCCACTTCGCTGTTGGCCTTGGACAGGGCGCGCTGCAGCTCCCCCTTGGCTTCCTGCTCCTCCTCATATTGTTCCCGGAGCAAGTCACAGTCGTGGCGAGCAGACTGCAAGGCGTGGGCCAGGGCATTCTTGGCCTAAAAATTACCCATAATATCATGTATTTATGCTAGCTGTGACCAGCAGGTGACCCCATGACCTTGCACACTAAAAATATGGTCACTGCAGCTTGGGCAGAAGACAAAGGGCCAGAGATTTATAAGTGCTCAGGCAGCTATCTTCAGCTGCAACCAACTTTTCTCAGCTCTACCGCTAGAAAAGACCAAGACTGATGCTCTCACCCTGGCATATGCTGTAGCTTTTCTTCCCTGGGGCTATTGAAGCAAAAGAAATCACATAGAACATGGCTTTAAAGTTAAAAAACATGCAAAAAAATTAACCAAAGTGAAACCACTTTTAACGTGTCAGAGACCTCCTTAGCAAAGACTTAAACACAGCGCTCACTGTACACATTCTGCCCAATAGTAATTTTATTGTGTTAGACTATAGGCAACAATACTTACAAACTTCCAAAAGTGTTTTTTAAATGAACTGAGGCCCTGATATATTCTGAAGCCTTAGCACGTGCTCAGTAGTTAGCACTACCTTGATCTCTTCCTCTAGCTGCCTTTTAAGTTCTTCTATTTGCTGTGTAACTGCCTGCTTGCTTCTGGACATTTGCAATGTTATGGTTTCTTTCTCTTCGAGTTGACGGCTTAGTTCACCTGTGACAAAAGAAGATAAGTTTCCAGTACTGTCCAGATTAAGCATCCTGAAAACATTCATATATAAATAATAATCAGTAACAGACAAGTGGAATCACAGAACATTGTTTATCTTAACAGTTGTTACCTTTATGTATATACTTTTACCATTCTTATTTTACAATTCTCATTGCATACATTTTTTTACCGTTATCATCTTTAGCCTTAGAGTAATGCAGGGCTTAGTAATGAAATTATGAGACAGATATAAGTCTCCTCCAACACTTATCTGTTCTACCTCCTTCAATGTTACTCCTATTCTGCTTTAATCATGAGTTTTACTGTTCATTCAGACTTCCACATACACATGCTTAATGCACAATTCTCTCAGCTTTCACTACTTAAGTGCATAGCACTTAGTTTCTCTACGGTTTCAAACCTTCCTTTCTCTTTCCTTTCTTGTTTGTTATCCCTTCTAAATTTCTTCTATACTGACATCCTTTTTTTAAAAGAACATTAGGGAAATTGGCAATCCTGTCTCTAGGTCTAGATGTTTCTCTTCAAGTTGTATCACTCTTTCTAGCTCATTCTGTGTTTTCTTCCCAGTCCATTTTACCATACCTTCTACTAAACACTTTAATACTCTCCACTGCTTTGCACAGGTTTAGTAATTCATTCTGCTTTCCTACCCCTGTTATCAATGTTTACTTGACCGCTCCTTTCTCTGTTCTTCCGCTCTGGAAACTTTCTCTTCTCTGCTGTTCATCTGCTGGGTTACTCTAAGTCTGTGGTCCTGCTTGGCCCACATAGGGAACTTTCCCCATTTTCCCTTTTCTTCCTTTTCTCCTAAACTCACTTCATAATACTTAGCAATATTCCTACTGATTCCAGGTAGGTTTCCCTTTTTTCCATACAGGCATGTGCAATAGATAGTGTGGTGCATTTGGGCACCCAGTGCTACAAGGAACCTGATTCATCGTTGCTGCTGCCAGAGGACCAGAGCTACCTGTGCTCCACCAGGACTGGGTGACTGGCACATGGTATTTTGTCCTGCCCATACCTGAGCGACTCCCCATCGTCTCCCAACTTACGGATTGCTAGTGCTGCCAATGCCATTTTTGCTTTACCTATCTGTTGGGCAATCTGACAGTCATCAAGGAGGCCATATAATGATCCCTTGGTGCATGATGTTTAACCTGGCTAACAGCTGGTGTAGCACAAAGGCTAATCAGTTTACCTATTTCATTCCTACTTTTTAAATGTTTGAAGCAGATTCTAAAAGTCCAGCCCACAACTGTACTTTCTTTCAGTGGCCCAAGATCTGCAGCTATCTGTCTTACATCCTCTGGTGTCATTTCTTTTAATGTAACAATACCAGTTTGATCTGCAGTACCTCTCTGTCGTGGGATGGTGGCAGTAGTCATTGTATATGCTGCTATTACCACCTCTTCTTTTTTCCATTCACATGTATTATCCCAATAAGTGTTTTCTCCTGACTCCCATTCTATTTTTCCATCACTTCCTGCAGATCAGCAGCTCTTTTTCATTTTTGCATCCCATTTTTGCATCTGCTTTTTACAAGCATCTAATTTTAGTTTCACATTTTTTATGATCAGTTGCCTTTGGAGCTCTCCCTTGCTCTGGGGTGAAGCATTGCACAGTATGTTTTAATCCTTCAAAATCCTTCTGTTGTTTTTCTTTCTTTTTCTAAATTCACCTGATTGTCTAATTCCAACTGTAACCCTTATAACATTTTTAAGCCACTAGATGATATTCCTTTTCTAAAGACAAATTTGCTTTAGAAAATTTGCTTAATTGTTTCTTTTAGAACACAATTTTCATGTTGAAGCAGTATGATTTTACTCTGTCACACTGGCTTAACTGACACAAAATGCTATAACAGCTTGCCATAATTGGTCCTGTGATACAAGAGATATCTCCTGAAGTTTAACTTCATAAGCTTTACAATAACTGGAAAACATTTACTCTACATCACCCTCTGTCCTGTGGGCTGAAGTAACACCTCTCTCCTTTCTTGGAGAGGTGCTTATAGCCCATGCTGTCATCTCTAGAATTCTTGGGTCTTCCTGTAACCCTCCAATATCATCTTTTTCAGACTTTTGCTGAGCCATTTTAGATTTTTTCCTCAAGCTTTCAATTTCATTCTAAGATTTCCCTTGAGCACTATGCACAATGAAGTTACAACAAAATGGTCAGGTTTACAGAATCATCTTGCAAACAAGATCACTTCAAAAAGATCACTCAGAGGAAAAGAAGAAAGAATTTGGTTATGGTCTGTGTGTTCCCACATGACATTCTCCATCAAAAGGTGTAGTAAATTCCCTTTTCCCTGATAAGGGATGGAGATGGGGGAGTCACAGATTACAACCAGTATCTATTTGAACACCTTTTATTAATTAAGTTGCTACAGTTATTAGCCTCGAGCTGTTATCATTAATGCCAGGCAACTTTGAACACAGCACATTCACATATTTCTTCACAGCTCACTCATACACACAAACATTCACCGATATCTCCCTAGTAGGAGCAACACCTGGAAGGCCACCCCCAGTTCTTTGCTCAGAAGCAGAGGATCATACTGACGGGCCAGTGCTTGGTCAGAAAGACCCTCAGGGGCTCCTGTTTTCATCAGGTGGTATGTATAATCCTGTAGTCTTTGCATAACGGCAGCCACCACTCTCTTGGATGTGGTCCCAGTTATACAACCCATTGTTGATGCTGGTGTTTGCCAGTGGTCTTGGGCTGATTTGACAGGTCTTGGTGTTCCGAGTTTGGCAGTTCTTGTGGATTCATCAGGACCGCTAGCCTCCAGAGATTACCAGATTTTGGGAGACTTTCACATGCTATGCCCTCTTTGGTCCGCTGTTTCCTTGTAACTATATCTCCATCCACATACAGATGTGCCTATAGAGCTCGTTCACATAAATTCATATAAATTCACATAAAAAGGGTTTTCATGGCAGGTGTAGCCCTATGGCTCAGCTGCTAGAACAGTATATGTCAGCACTCCCTGATCTGCTATTGGGTAAAATCCCTAAAATTCAGAAGGTTAGTTTAAGCCAATTCAGTGGCATTTTAATTTGAGATGTCTGACCTTGCAGTCAACCAGACCATTGAAGGAGCATTCACACTCGTCACTCACACTGTTCCAAGAAGTCTGCGTGGGAGCAGTAACAAGCTTCATAAGGGAGCACACACACAGATACTGTACGCACAGTGAACATGTGCACTCTTGGAGGAGAAAGTGCAGTTCTAACAGGTTGCTCAAATCATTTGGGACTGTCCCAAATTCCCAGTCCCCCTGCATGGAACCAGCGAGCTACGTCACATCATTCTGGGAATCATTTACCTAAGCAAATAATCCTTGAAATTGGCATATGAACTTTAAAGTGTCACTTATGAACTAATTTCCTTTGATTTATTTCTAATGTTGTCTGCGCCTGTACCAATGAGTCTGGAAGTAGAATATGCACTTTGGGAACAATTAGGTCTCACTCATGGTACACGTTAGAGGGTCTCTCTGCTACTGAAGAGAAAAAATATCCCCTTAGCAGATCTTTGTGCCTTCCTTACCGGACACTGTCTGGAGCTGGGCTTTTTGTATCACCATCTCATTCATATTTCTCTGGTTTTCCTCAAATTTGGCTTTCATATCTCTCATCTGGTCTTCCAGAGTGCGGCACATTTTTTCCAGATTAGCCTGAAAGAGAGTAAGAAAGTGGAATCTGTGTATGCGTGTTTGTATTGCATTAAATTCCCACCAGACAGAAATATTGCCAGTTCAAGTATTTCACTTATAAAGGAACACCTTGGACTTAGTAATGGTCTCTGTACTACTGGCCAAGTCGTCAATCTCCATCTTCAGCTCACTCTTCTCCTTCTCCAGCTTCTGCTTCACTCGTTGCAGGTTGTCGATCTGCTCCCCAAGCTCAGCTGTGCTGTCCGCGTGCTTCTTCCGCAGGGCGGCAGCCGTGGCTTCGTGCTGCAGCGTGGCCTCTTCGAGGTCGCGACGCATCTTCTGAAATTCTGCCTCACGCTTCTTGTTAAGTTCGGTTTGAGCAGTGGTGGCTCCTCCAGCCTCTTCAAGCCTTTCCCTGATTTCCTCAAGTTCATTAGCCAGCTCACCACAATGCTTCTCTGCTTTTGCACGCATTGCTTTCTCACTCATGGTCTCCTCTTCCAGCTCTGTAAGATGGGCCTATATAATGAGGAAATAGCACATCAGGAATTAATAAGGGAACAGATAATTCAATGCTTAGGTTAACACATAATTGCCATAGTAGAATACCAAGACCATTGTTTTGGAGACTATAAGCAAAACAAAGTCCCTTTGAATTTTACTGTTTTGCCATTGTAGGCAAAAGCTTACCAACAGGAAAAGACTTATGGATCAACTCATACTAACTTTGTATCATAACCTTCTGTTGTGTGGAGAAAATTATTACAACTTACCAAGGTAATTCCTGTGACTCGGTCAGAGATTTTATCAGTGACTAACTGTGGACAAGCATTATTCATGCTACTTAAATAGGCAAACAGTAATGATGAAGTAGTTACATAAAGTCTCTTGCCTGCAATTCTCTGATCGTCTTCTGCAATTGAATAACTGAATTCTGCTGTTCCTCGACTTTATTTTGCATCTGGTGAAATTCAAAGTCTTTCCTGTGAAGGAAAAGTTCTTTTAATAAAAAGAAAATATGTCCAGTTAAAATCAAATACTAAATTTGCCACTATTTTTTTTTCTCATACTTCCTTAATTTTTCATCTAAATGTTGTTTATCATTCTCCAGATCCACTATGGTTTCCTGGGCAAGTTTCAAGTCTCCCTCAAGCTTTCTCTTTGCTCGTTCAAGATCCATACAAACTTTTCTTTCCTGTTTTAAAGATCCTTCAACCTGTAGCATAAACATATATAAAGATGACTGACGGAGCAACTGAAGAATCTGCCCCTTCTCCTTCTGTTGAACATGCTCACATTGTTCACTTGTTGCTCCAGCTTGATCCTGGCTTTGGTGAGGGTATTAACTTTGTCCTCCTCAATTTGCAGGTCATCCAGTGCCTGCTGGTGGGCTTCCTGCAGGGCCTTCTTCTCCTTGACTAACTTCACAATAGTCTCATCCAAACCTGTCATTTCTTCAGTTAGATTTTTAACCTATTGTAAGGCAAAATACTTGAAGGTCACTAATAATTTTGGTTTTTATATAGGCTACCGATCACGCAAAGGCAATAAACTCATTGCTAGACTACCAAAAAGACTTAATTAGTTGCATTATATGGTCAAACTATACAATCTCTCTGCTTATATATCAACCCTTCTGAAGTCACAAAGCAAATCTGAACTTTCATTTTAATGCATTTTTGCATGCTTATGGGTTGGTTTTCCTGCACAATAGAGGTGACCAAATTTAATACCAGGCCCGTAGATTTCCTTATACAACATTGTGTTATTGTTCAAGTTGACTGCACCTTTACATCTTATGTATAGACAGAGCAACTATTATTAAACATGCAAATGGCAGAAATAAAAAGTACCCTGTTTTCTGTGGCGTGCTTTTCCTTTTCAGCCTTGGCCAATGTTAACTCAAGGTCATCAATATCTTTCTTTAGCTCAGAGCATTCATCCTCCAGTTTCCTCTTTCTGGCTGCCAGATCAGCCTTTATCTCCTCTTCATCCTCCAGTTTTTCCATTACCTCCTTTATTCTTGCTTCCAGCTGGAATTTTGTTTTGATCAGCTGGTCACATCTTTCTTCAGCATCAGCCAAATTTTCATTTTCCTTTTTATAGAAAACAGAAATGCGTTTCATTGTCACACATTGGAACTGACACTTGCAGAAATCACCTGCTCATTATGCAATTGGAACATGAAATAACAGAATTTCCATTCAGCCCTTTCCTGAACACTCAGACAAAACTGATGTAATCTGAGGAGCCAAAAATGTTTTAAATTACATACAGCCTGTACTTGCAGCTGCAGGTCCTTCTTCTCTTGCACCAGAGTCACCATTTTTTCTTCCAGTTCTTTCCTCTTGGTTTCTGATTTAGCCAGTTCTTCTTTTGTTCTCTCAAACTCTCCCTTCATCATGGCCATTTCTTTCTCAGTTTCCACACTTTTTAACAGGGGTTTTATCTTGAAGTACAACTTCATCCAGGGCCAGTGCTTGACATTCATGAATGCACGGATGTTGTACTGGATGCAGAAGATGGACTCCCTGAAATCAAAGCGATCCATCAGTACTGTGAAAAAAGCACTTCTTTGAGAAACCAGACCTTGCAGAAGACACACACCTTCGGTCTAACATTCTTTTCAATTCAAGTCTCCTGAGGTATCCCCTGCATAAAGCCTGTGTCTGTGTGATCAGTTGTCCTAAGCAATCATCTCGCATCTCTTCCAGGACACCTAGCAAACCTGCCTTGAAGAACACCTGCAATCAAAGATCAGAAATCAGTCATTGCTGGTCTTATATTTTAATGCAATGAATGATTTCTCATTGTGTGGAAAAATTAAATGTTTACCTTAGTGTGTCCAAATTTGTACTGAGTATGATCTATCTCAATGGAAGACAGCAACTTTTCACAGGCCTTCTTGCTATCAATAAACTGTCCTTCTGGAATGACACCAGCATTCAGAAGGCGGTATCTGACAAAATAAAGGAAAAAAGCCTAACTGTCAGTATCATTTTAGTGCACAGGATGCTACAAGAACAGCTGTCACTTTGAAGATACAGAGGAGGTCTGAGTCTGACTCACACCTCAAGCCTTAAATAGCAAACCAGTAAGAAGCAGGTCAGTTCAGTAGGTTCCCAGCATGTGTTACAGCCCTCACTGAGACTGAGAGCATGAACGGTCTGTTCTCTGGACCCAAGAGACTCTGCTCATCTGTGTCACAGTCATTTACACTAATCTAGGGGGCCAGCTCACTGGGTTAGCTGTAAATTAAAAAAATTAATGGATTTTAAGAATAGGGAGACTGCTGCAATTATCTAATCTGACCTCCTGTATAACACAGGCACACAGTCCTCCCAGTGCCTTGTTCATCCAGCCCCCATCTTCTGATTAATCTAGTGCATATTTAAAAAAAAAAAAAATTTCAATCATATTTGAAGCCTTCAAACCTTGAGAGTGTCCCAGGTAAGCTATTCACCCTCACTGTAGGAAAGGTATACTTCACTTCTACTTTGACAACATCCTTTTTCAGGTCCCACCCTTGGACTCTTGCTTTGAGTCTGTCTTTTAGATGACAGGTTCCTGCATATTCAGAAATCTTTACACCTGTAGGTTCTCTACACCACAAACAAATCATCTTTAAACATACAGTTTCATGAGTTAAATAGTTTGATTTAAATCTCTCACTGCACTCGAGTTCACATTTACCCTGTAGCTCTTTTCTGAACCATATCCAGCTTCTCGCATTCCTCCTGAAGTATGTAAACCAGAATCAGACACAGTATCTAGCAATGGACTTCCTAATCCTACATTGAGAGATTATCCCACCCCCTGTTCTTTTCAGCATGCCTCTGTTTACCCATACACAAATCTGCCCACCCACATCACTGCCTTGGGAACTCTTCTTCGGTTAGTGCCCAAAATGCCACTTCTACCCTTTACAACATCCCTGCTCTCCAGGATACCCTTTTCAGTGCTGTATGCATGGCGTACTTTCTTTGTCCTTAGAGATCTGACCCTACATTTGCCTTTGCTCAAATACAACAAGCAGATGACCCCATCTGGGTTGCCCTAAATTTAGCAAACCTTTATAAATGTCTTATTTGCATGGCAGTTCCTGAGTTAAAATTGTTTTGTTGTTTGTTTTTTTACTCTATAAATTAATGTAGCTAAGGTACTATAGAAATGTTAGCATGTAGAAATGTTAGCCCTGTACAAAATGAAAGTGTCATGTGGAAC